ACACTAGGAGAAAGTTCGCCGCTGCAGACTACACCTCAATCAATGAATATCTAAATAACATTTCATGGAAGGATAGGCTGAGTCATACTGATATAGATATTTGCATCGAAAACTTATACAATATTTTGAATCACGCCATTGAACTATATGTTCCTATTAAGAACGTAAACCAAAGATCTTACCCGGTTTGGTTCTCCAGACATACATTAGCAGTAATGAAAGAAAAAATAAAGTATAAAAACAAATGGAAAAAATTCAAAGATGTCGAGGATTATGCACAGTTCTCTGCATTGCGAAAAAATCTAAAAAAGTGCATTGGTGATGATTATAAAACTTACATTAGAAATACTGAAAATAGACTGAAAAGCGATCCAAAAGCTTTCTGGTCTTATATTTCTGTAAAAAAAAACTCAAAGTCAATTCCGATGGAAATGGTTCATAACAATTCTACGCTGTGCGGAACAGAAGCCATATGCAATGGATTTTCGCAATATTTCAATGATGTTTTTGAAAGTAACCACACCAACTGCTTAGTAGATAAAAAACCATCAATGAATTTTCTCGACATCGATTTTATTTCATCTACACAGGTTATGGATGTTCTGGAGAACCTTGACATAAAAAAGGGACCAGGCCCGGATGGGATACCCTCAATTTTTATTAAATCCTGTCGATGGTCACTAGTGGAACCGCTATGTATTTTATTCAATAAATCGCTGAAGGATGGTATTTTTCCTAAGAGATGGAAAGTTGCCCAAATTGTGCCAGTTTTTAAGAGCGGACAAAAATCAGAGGTATCAAATTATAGACCGATCTCTCTGTTGTGTCTGCTGGGTAAGGTTTTTGAATCAGTTCTAACGACAGAACTTTTCTTCCAAGTTGAACATCTCATTACGATTTACCAACATGGTTTTCATAAAAAGAGGAGTGTCACTACTAATCTCTTTCCGTTTGTGCAAGATATTTACAACTCAATGGAACATGGAGCCTCAACATGCGCGGTGTACACCGACTTTTCGAAGGCATTTGATAAAGTGCACCACCCAACTTTGGTGATGAAACTTGAAAATTTTGGCGTACACGGCAATCTGTTGAGGCTCTTGAACTCATATATCTCTGACAGATACCAATATGTCGTTCTGAACAATTTTCAATCCAATAAAACACTTATCACATCAGGTGTACCACAGGGGTCACACCTAGGTCCCTTACTATTCAGTATTTTTCTAAGTGACATAGAAGAATGTTTTACTGAGTCTAAAATATTGCTATATGCCGATGATCTAAAAATATACAAAGAAATCAAGGACAACATGGACTACATGAACCTTCAGAACGATCTAAATCGTTTTTCAAAATATTGTACAACCAACAGGCTATTTCTTAACATACAAAAATGTTCTCAAATTCTCTTCTCAAGGTGTTTAACTCCCCTAACGACCAATTTGTACCTACATAATCAGACACTGAAATCTGAAGATGAAGTGAGGGACCTAGGGGTCATCCTGGATAAAAAACTCTCATTTGAGAGCCATGTTGAGGCTATTGTTAGGAAGGCATTGAAGACTGTAGGCTTTATCTTGAGAAATACCAAAGAATTTCGAAATCATCTCTCTGTCGTGTCAATGTATAACACCCTAGTGAGGCCTATATTGGAATATAATTCCGTTATATGGAACCCTGTTTATGATAAATATATCTTACGTATCGAATATGTTCAGAAAAAAATTGTAAAAAACTTAAACTACAGATATTTTCGCCATCGACATTTCGAATGTTATGATGATAACCTCAGATTCTATAAATTTGAACGTTTATTTATCCGGAGAGAATTCTCCGACATATTTTTTGTTTACAAAATATTCAATAATCTCATCGATGCTAACTACATAACTTCTGAGTACTCAGTTAATTGCAACCCCTACATCACAAGAAATAGACTAATCTTCTACATACGCACTTTCGATAGCAATTATTACAATAACTCTCCATTAATAAGGTCAATGAATTCCTATAATTTTGTTTGTAATACCCACTTAGACATCTTTCATTATTCTATAAATCTGTTCAAGAAGCATCTCAAATCTCTCCTATGTTCTAACTATTATTAGAGCATTGATTAGGCACTGGAATTTGATAAACCCATAGTAGTAACTCACTGTTTTTCTTCTTCTTTTTCTTATTAGGTATAAGTTAATTTTAGGTTTTCTGTATGATTCCATCAGGCTCATATGTAATGTATTTTGTTATATTGTGTCACTCTGTTATAGGACGAGCTTCTAAAGTTCTGTCTGTTGAGTGACCGTGCTTATTAAATAAATAAATAAATAAAAATAAAAAAATGAGGGTATATGACCACTAATGGCAAGAAAGTTTTACTAGTATAACAGTAAATTGTTATAGATTGGATAGGTGTAAGTTGCAATAGGGTTTTCAGGAACTTTGAAGGACGTATCCTGGATGATATTCAACGGAGTACGGATTTCAGTAGGTATAGTTAATATTTTTTTGAGGTAGCCAAAAAGTGTATGATAACTCAAAATTAGTACTAGAAAATCAAATAAGTTGAAAGTTGAAGTTGAAATAGTTCATTTTTTAGTTATTCGATTCTGATAGGTTGAATCTATTGAAGTGTATGGATGAGTGAGCGAAAGAATTTCTCTTCTTCATTCTGTGTTGTTCCGGAAAGTTGATAAAATAGCGAAGAGAAGGAGTCCGCGCTTCAAGAAGAAATTGACAGACAGAGGGTAGTTTGTCGCTGTTATCTATATTGTCATATAGGTTCTGATGCGGGTTCCAGGGATGATCAAGAAAGGATACACAAACAAGGACTTGTCTTGGATTACTACCCCAATTGTTGTTTGTTTCTGGAAATATTCAATTTCCTTGTTGGGAGCAATTTCATCATTTTTGTTTCTGTGTGTATATATGTATGTGGATTGTCTGACTCTTACAGGGTGGAACTATCAGAAGAAAATATCTTTTGTCTTACTGTAGTTAACATAATAATAATAATAGTCAGTTGCATATTAGAACACTGTTAATTCTATTACAGCAAATAAATAGCAGATCAACCAGGAAATACATTCCGCTGCTACTAGCAGACTTTTGGATTGCAAGTTTTGTCTTTATAGTGACAGATATTGGAGATTGATTAATTTTTTTTTAATGGTGATTAAAATTGTTGAATGATCGAATAGCTACCTCAAAATCAGGATAGGGTTTTCAGGTAAACGAGGAGAAGAAGCAAAATATTTTGCGGTAGGTGAAAGTTGCTTTTTGCTTAGAAATAGTTAAAGCATGTCTTCTCCTCCCCCTACTAACAACACTTGCATAAACACTCCTGGTGGTGGAGCGCCTAACATGATACCAGCATCACCTGTATTGAGAGTACCGGCCATGTATTCATTAGGGATGGTGGCAACTACCCTAGATAATTTCTCTGGGAAAGATGCGGCAAGATATTTTGAAAAGTTAGAATGGCGTGCAAAATTAGATGGTTGGTCGGAGGATGAAACTCTCCAGTTATTCAAATTTAAGCTTATAGGTGAGGCATACAACTACTTCAAATCGGATACAGGGTTGGACTTGGCGAGTTATTCAGCTCTGAAATCTAGGTTTTTGCAGAAATTCACACCGTTTAGGTTACCTGGAGAGAGTCAATGGAATTTAAGCAGGTGTTTTCAGAGACATGATGAGGATGTGTCGTCATTTTGTACTAGGTTGAGAATTTTAGGTGCCAATTCATTACGGGAGGATTTAGGAGGGGCTACTGTGGATGAAGAGACAGGAATAAGAAAGAAAAATAGGGAATTGCTTTTGAATCAATTCAAGGTGGGGCTGCGTAAGGACCTGATGGAAGAGACGGGTATTCTATTGTTGCGTGAACTCAATCTAGATCTAGAAAAGGCTGAGGAGCTGGTGAAGCTGCAAGAGACGACTTTCATGATGATACAAGGAAGGAGTGCGAGCATGAGGATTTCTATGATCGATCATGAAGGTCTTTGTCATTCCTGTGGAAAATCTAGGCATTTTGCTAGAGAGTGTAGGAGTTCCAGAGGGACTAGGGGTTCACTGAATCCCAAGATGAGGAGGGCATGTTACTCGTGTGGGCAAGCAGGACATTTTGCTAGAGAATGTCGAAGAGTGCCACCAGGAAGTCAACATGGTTGTTTTTTGTGTCATCAGAGGGGGCATTGGGCAAAAGATTGTCCAAGTAATGATAGGAATACAGGGCGATTAGGTTTTCGAGAGGTCAATAGGTAGTCTCGAGGTAGGACTGAGACTCAACAACGAGATCGCAATCCAGTAATGAGGGGAGCTGTTGGAGGCAGGGGTCATAATTCACAACCTGAGACTCAGAGGGAAGTGAATCAGTCAACGGGCGCTATACCAAAGCAGAGACAACAATCTTCCTCTTTTTCAGGTTCACGCCGAGACGATCAAGGTATTGATGATTCAAACTGTTGAGGCCGAAGCCCTACTGCCAGGGTGGAGGCCAGAGGCAAATGGAGAGGCAGAACAATAATTTTGATAAATATAACGATGGAGTAGGGAAAGTGCGTGTTATGCTAGTTCCTGAGGTAGCCTCAAGGAATATAAAAGATATTCCGCACATTATTCGAGTGCGAGTGAATGGAGTTTTGGGTTATTGTTTGATTGATACAGGGGCAGCGGTGCCACTCATTCAAAGTAAAATGGTTCCTAGGAATCAAATAAACTCTATGGGAGCGAATAAATATCAGCTAACTAGCGTTACGGGTCATTACTTACGCACTTGGGGTACTGCTGATATTTTAATAGGACCTGTAGAGAGTAATCAAGGTACGACATGGACTGCTATTGTATGCAAGGATGAAATATTGGGAACAGTTCAGGTACTATTAGGAAGATATTTTCTGTACGCTAATCAAGCATTAATAAACTATCAGCAAGTACCATCTATTACTATTTGGGGAAGGTGCATTCCCTTTATATATGAGGAAGAAATTGATGTGAATATGTATAACCGATGTCATGAAATAGGACAAATAGGTAATAAAGAGACTGAACCAAAGGAATTGAAGTCGATGGAATTCAGAAGAAGTTTCGTACCACATAGACCAAAAAGGGAGAATATCCCGAAGCGAGTTGATTATCGGAGAGAAGTCGAAAAATCTCAGGAACTCGGAGATTCTGAGGAATCTGAAGAATGGATAGAATGGCTCGAAATCGTGGAAGATTTTTATAAAGGTCGAGTTACTAAAAATCCTTCAGAAAATTATATAAACGTAGAAAATATTGAAGAAAATGGAAATATATCCGTAAATCAACTAGTATTTATGAAAAAAATTGAGGAAAACACGAACGATACTTCGCAGACAGAAATAACGACGAAATCAAAGTGCGAAGACATTAGTACCCAAACCGAATTTGACAATCGAATAGACGTATTAGAGCATGAAGCAATAGAAGTAGTGACGGCGTTGAATAATATGGAGGATATAGAACAGGAAAATGCCGTTTGTTCGGCAATTTCTACGATCGAAAATCAAACCACTGAGGAAACCATAGCGGAATTTCCTCGACATACTTGGGAAACAGACATAATATTAGAAAATGATGTCACTATTCCAGCTCGCACAGAAGCGATCGTGTACGCAAAACTTAAGTTCAACTTGGAAGGAAACCTAATAGTATGCGAGCCAATAGAATTAGGAAATGGATATGTTCATACAGCTAGCTGCTTGTTAGAAAATTCCTCGAAAATTTGGGTACGAGTTCTCAATGTATCCTGTAAGGAAATTAGACTTGTGAAAAACCAGAAACTTGCGAAGGCTATAACTTGCGATATAGAAGAGGGAAGAGACGTGGAAACTGAGTATATGATTGGACAATTGAACAGAACAAATATCGAAGGGAACTTAGAAGGGTTCAATCTTGAACACCTCGATGAAAAAACACAGGAATACTTCGGAATTATCAGGACTTGTTCATGGAAGAAGAGGATAACTTGACAAGTACTACAAAGGTGAAACATAGTATAACCTTAGAGCCCGGAGCACAACCTATATGTGAAGCACCCTATAGAATTCCGTATCAACAGCGAGATGTTCTACAAAAAGAAATCGATAGATTGATGAACGCAGGTGTCATCCGTTCATCATCTAGCCCGTGGTCAGCTCCAGTTGTACTTGTCACAAAAAAACTACCTAATGGAGAAGATAAGGTGAGAATGTGCATCGATTATCGAGGATTGAATACTGTGACTGAAAAGGAATATTATCCCCTGCCTAATATTTCGGATTTAATTCAAGGTTACAGATCAGGAAGCGAAGCATTGTTTTTGGTTATCGATGATGCAGAAGCGTACCATCAGATAGATATGGAAGATGAAGATATCCCATTAACCGGCTTCAGCACGTTTCAAGGCCACTACGAGTATACTAAAATGCCATTTGGCTTAGTCAATGCACCGTCAACATTCCAGCGATTTATGAACATCACATTAGCCGGGCTCACAGGAGAACTTTGCATGGTTTATCCAGATGATATTATTATTTTTAATTCCGAGGGAAAAGAGGAGCATATCGAGAGGTTAGAAAATGTTTTCGCGAGGTTGAGAGAAGCAAATGTCAAATTGAAGGCTAAAAAGTGTAGCTTCTTACTCAAAAAAGTGAAATATTCAGGGCATATGATAACACAAGATGGAGTGCTTTCAGATCCTTATAAAATCGATTCAATACATAAATTTCCTATACCGAAAACCATTCGAGGTGTACGATCGTTCCTAGGATTGGTAAACTGGTATCGAAGATTTATACCGAATGCATCTGAACTTATTACACCACTGACGAATTTGACTCGAAAAGAAACGAAATTCGAAATTACATCTGAAGTACTTGACTCGATAGAAAAGTTGAAGGAAACTTTGACATCGGATATGATTTTGATTTTTCCTGATTTCGAACAATCATTCATACTAGCTGCAGACGCGTCTTGGCTGGGAGTAGGAGCTGTGCTCAGTCAAATAAGAGACGGATATGAACGACCTGTGGCATATGCTAGCCGAAATTTCAAAAAGGCAGAATCAAATTATTCTACTACAGAGAAGGAACTCTTGGGAGTGGTGTTTGGAATACAGACTTCTAGGTGTTATTTATATGGGAAGAAATTCACTGTGATCTCTGATCACCGGCCATTGAAATGGTTATTGTCATTGAAGGATCCAGGGTCGCGACTGACAAGGTGGGCTCTGACACTGGCGGACTATGATTTTGAGGTGATTCATAGAAGAGGAAAATTACACGGGAACGCTGACGCGCTTAGTCGCATGTTTTGTAAAGAAGATCACTACATTGATTTGGAATATGGAGATTATTCAGAGTATCAGAAGATTCATCAGATACCTCGAATAAAAAATTTGGAGATGAAACAGGGAGACCTATTTTCAGCGCCAGAAGAGTGGGCACTAGCACATTGTGTGTCAAAGGACTTAGCCATGGGTAAAGGTATAGCATTGCAATTCCGAAATATATATGGTAGTGTAGAAAAATTGAGACAACAACAAAAAAATGTTGGCGAAGTTGCGGAATTGAATTTACCCGAAAGAAATATTTATTATTTGGTTACTAAACGTAAATATAATGAAAAACCTTCATATAGATCGATATGGAATGCCCTACGTAGCCTCAGAAACTGTTCTGATAGAAACAAGGACCAAGTGATAAGTATGCCGAAAATTGGATGTGGACTAGATGAGCTTGTATGGGAAAAAGTGCGAGAGATGATAGAGTTTATATTATATAATTCTAACATTGAAATATGTGTTTACGAAGGAACTCTGACAATTGCAGCAGGATGAGGACTACTTTTGTCAAACATTACAGGAACAAATTGAGGGAAATGAAGATGAACTACTAGGAGCAAAGTATTATTTGTCCAAGGATGGAATTATTTATCGCACAGATGCAGACGGAGATGAATTGATCATTCCTAAAGTGTTTGTAACTAAACTGATGGAGGACTTCCACGATTCACCTATGGCTGGGCATCAGGGTCAACAAAAGACGTTAGCCAGCTTGAAACAAAGATTTTTCTGGCCGAATATGCGAACTGATGTCATTAACTACTGCACAAGTTGCGACGCATGTAATCGAAGAAAAACTTCGCCCCACCAGAAAAAAGCTCCATTACAAAGATTCACTTCTACTACAGAACCGTGGGAATTAACATCCACTAGTGTGGACTTGTTTAATCGATGTTACGCGAATTATAACTCACTGTGGCATGCATAGCCATAGTTCTATTGTGGCCGGAGGTATATCCAATTTTATATACCGTATCGGTGCTGAAGAATGTCGAACGCTCCATCGCTACAAATTGTTGAAGATATACCAACAGGACATTGGAAGCATTACTATGAATGGGACCACAACTGCGACCCTTACTATAGGAGGTTCAGTAGATTTAGATGGATCTTGTCAAGGATCAACCATGAAAATGGACAGACTTGGAAGAATGTGGTTATCATTGCTACAATAAAAATTCAGGTGACTGATTAACTAGCCAGGGTCAAGATGGACGAGGATGAACTGGTTCTATCAGGAGGAGTTATCTGCCCATTCTTGAAAGGATACTGCTTCAACACAACCCTGGGAGAAATCACGTGGGACGTCAACCCTTTACGAACATGTGAGAAGAAATTCAGCTTGCTTTATAATGGACAGGCGGAGAAAGTTGTCAATCAACTAACTACGGAACAAATAATTGTAGTGGAGGACAGCAGCAAAGTATTCGCGGTAACTCTAGTGAAGAAGATAAATATCTGCCAGATGGAAATATGGCAGACTGAGCATCCCAGAATACTGGTTATTGAAGGAAAACAGCAGGATCTATTCAATCCGACGATCAACATTTCACCTCATAATGCAGATATGATCCCAATCAGCCAAAGTACGTCTTGAAGGCGTCTTTAAGACGTACATGTCGGGACATAAGTACGTCTTGAAGACGTACATATTACGCCCAAGAGACGTCTTCAAGACGTCTTTAAAACGTACATTTTCCACTAATATGTACGTCTTTAAGACGTCTTTCTTAGGTGTTTTTGGTCCATGACCTCAAATTGATCTTTCAAATTACGGAAAAATCACATAGTTTCAGTTGATTTTCACCTGTGCACTGAAGTTAGCAAGAAGTGCAGACAAGCAAAAAAAAAGGGAAATAAACGACTTCATCAAACGGTAGACACAAGCGGTCACCTATTCAAGTACTAACCGCGCTCTTTGTTGCTTGACTTCGATGATTATACCATATTCACTTCTTCTGTTACTCTGTTTGTTCTATATATCACATAACAAGCTTTTACTTACTTTAACATGTCCTTGTGTCTGTTTGTAATCAAAATGTGCAAGTTAAATTTGACTCACTTTAAATCGTCCGATTGATTTGAAATTTGGCAAGTAAAATATTATTCCGGTGACAATTCGTCGTGATATTATTATTGAATGGAAAAAAACAGAATGGCGGATCCAATATGGCGGACGATTTTCTCATTGATTATGTTCCGATTCGAATCAAAATTCAATATTCAAGATGGTGAATCCAATGTGGCATATGGTTTTCTGATTATGGTCTGATCTGATTCAAAATTGGCATCTGAAGGATTCCGGGATCAGAGATTATAATTCCTTTTGTCGAAAATGAAAAATCCAAAATGTCGGCTTCAAAATGGCGGACGAGTTTTGTGATTATAGTCCGATTTTATTCAAAATTGATTACTATGGGACTTTCGGTTCGGAGAATAAGATTTTTTTGTAAAAATTCGAGAATCTAACACGAAGGCTCCAAAATGTCGGACAAAAAGATTCAAAAACATAACTTCTGTTGAAAATAAGAAAAAACTGAACAATTGAAAATAAAAAACGTGAAGAGATGACATTTTGTTTTTCTTCAGAAAATAACTTACATTATTGTTCTATAAGTCGAATTGACGTACTGGAATGTACGTCTTCAAGACGTATTTTATACGACATGGGAGGAACGACGTGGATACGACCTAAAATGTACGTCTTAAAGACGTAAATTCGTGTACGTCTTTAAGATGTACATGGATTTATATCTTGAAGACGTACTTTATACGTCCCTGGACGTGAAGACGTAAGTGAGTCGTAAAATGTACGTCTTTAAGATGTCTGGTGCTGATTGGGATGGTGTACGTGAATAGTAAATTCTTGTACGTAGAACAAGCGTACATGCGAAAATTGAACCAGTTATATACTGATACTGTGCACCGGCGATGTCTCTTACAAAGAGAGATATTGCAAAATCGCCTTCTGATGACGCCACTCGTACCCAACACCCTAAGCCAGCTGGTAAAGGGAAGAGGAGGCTATGTAGGACGTGTACTTGGGGAAGTACTATATATCATGAGGTGCGTCCCCCGAACCGTAACAATTCGACGAACCGAAAAATGTTACCATGAACTTCCCATTTTAGTAAATAATCTGACCAAATTCATGGCTCCAGTAACAAGAATTATTCAATCTTATGCAGAAGAGGTAGATTGTACTGCATTAACGCCACCGTTGTATTTGATAGATGATCAATGGATAGGATTATCTCCCTATCCGACGGTTAAAAAGACACCAGAAGAACTATCACCAGAATCACATTTAACGCTGAGCTTTGCCCCTATCCAGCCAATTGGCACACTTGCAATATATACTCAGGAGGAAATAACCAATGCCTAGAGGATTTTGACTTTCGGAAACGAAAGAAAAGCTGTGGAAAACATCATAGCTCGTAGGATAGCGGGATTGGAGACAACCGGGCAAGGTTTCTCTACTTTAAACATTTTCAACCCGGAAGAGATGAAGGAGTTGGCACATAATACTATGCAGCAGATCTGGGGATGGTTCACAGACCTTGAATTATTCATGAGTGGACTCATGGGATTTTACGCAATATTCAGAATGTTGAAATATGCAATAGGAGTGATTTTAAATGGTTTCCACATTTACCAGACCATGGGCTGTAGAGTTGTTATATTGGCTAGTCTATGGAATACACTTACTATGTGGGTGATTCGTAGCTATCCCTCTAATCTAACCACAGCAGCAACCAACGCGGAAGGAACGAATTTTGAGCGGTTGGAGGAGGTGAGGACCCCATCAATTTATCCTTGCGTCTCAACATCACCCCATTGGACAGAACAACAAAGCAGCCGCGAAACGAAAGAAATGTGAAGAACGAAGTTACCGGGTAACCGAATTCCTATTCCCCGTGCGCGTTCAAAAACACTGAGTAGAAAAAAACATTATTTTTCTGAACAATGTCGCAAGATAGGACTCATAAGTGTGCGGCGACATAAATATTAGTTAGGTGTGTAGCAGAAGTCCTGGGAATCTCGGATGTGGAGGTTATTTCCTCATCAAGAGGCCCCCAACATTCAACGGCAGCAGTTTTAGGAAAGTGGATTAGTGCCGAAGGAAGGGACGCGAAAAGTTTGTTCGAAACGAGAAAAGTGCGCGAAAGAATAATTGTACTGAAGTAGTTGTTAGATTAGCTTTAGTTGAACATTGGGAACACAAGATGTTCATAAACGAAATTTAATTGTTCGTTTAAGAAGACATTGTATCGTAGTCTTCGTTGTCGACAAGAGATAGCATTTTGATGTTGGTGAGGAGTTTAGAATTCAACTTTTTTGCTTTAGATATAAGCTGAAATATATATAGAGCCACTGTTTGTCTCCTTGAAGTGATGAAAAATTGTTAGGGACTTCTATGTAGGTATGTGGAAAAGTGATGGTATGGTGTGGCCAAAACTTTTTCTTTGTGGGGAGTATTGTAGCACACTGTATGTGAATTGCTTCGCATTGGGAATAGTCTCTTGAAACTTAATCATTTTCTTATACAGACGACTTGGTGATGGGATTGTTCGTTCCGAACAATAAGACCTTATCATATCCATACATGTTATTGTGGCTCGGATCAAGTCGCAAAGAGCGCCGAACTCCTGAGCAAGATTTAGTACCGTGAGATCGAAAATATAAAAGAATGATTATCAGTTAATTCTTTATCATGAGGTGCTGATGCTGAGAAATGATGGGAATAAGATAAAGTTTTAGGTTTTCTCAGGCAGGCTGTCTTTCTGAGACATAAGCAAAATACTCGGCCATAATCATAATGGGCGGCACCTAAGAGGAAAATTGAATCTTGGACAAATGGGAATGAAGATCGCGACTAAAAATTGAAGGCAAAGACCACCGGGCATAGAATGGGAATGGGATTTTTTATGTTTTGGTGGAGACTGAAGAGGGAATGGGATTTTGCGGGACGAGCGAAGAAGAGTCAGCGACAGGTCGCGTTCGAAAAAGGGTTCGGGCGAGGAGATCGTGAGGGTAGGCTCGCGACAGGTGGCAGATATTCGGGGAAACTTTAGGTCACGGTCGTACGAGGGAGGACTAGCGAGTCCTAGGGAATTTGTTGTCAGTTTGGGAGGATAAATAAAGTATTCAGAAACGCGCAGTGACCGAATCTTAATATTTTTGTGGACTTTGTAAATACGGGAGTACGATATGGTGGTTTGAGTGAGAACTTTGAGAATCTTATTGTTCACCCTGAGAGGCGAGAGGTTGTGGCCTACTTTTTTATATTTATTGAAATAAACCAGAATTGCATAAAAATATAAGACACATTTGCGAACGGCAGCTCTTCGCCAGAGAACAGATAAGTGGATTCGTTGTGATTGCATATAGTTAAATTTCAAGTTTAGAGGGCGCCACCCAATTTACAAAACAATTATTGATACTTGGATAATTGAGAAAACCAATTAGTTGGATACTTACAGTATTTTCCAAAATTCAATCCTGAAATAAAAATATGAAAAAAATCTTCTTAAATGGCAGTGTCAACACAAATAGATGAATAAAACCATATCAAATTTCAGACCTATTTATTATCACCATAACAGACAGGGTTTATGAAGACCAGTGTAGAGACCAAATGAGTGTCAGAATATGTAGCATATGTTATCATGAAATATCTTGAAGTAATATGACCGTAAAATATCATAACCATAAATTGTCATAACCATGAAATGATTGTTTCTAGGGGAATTCAATATTATTGTACTAAATCAAAACTTATCAACCTACACCATGACAAATACCACCTCTTTATATGACTAGCGTTTAGGTATAGCAATCATCATATTCCAACTATAAAATGGGATGTATAAATCTCAAAAAAATTGATTAAACAATAATCTGAAAAAAACCTGAAACCGCTGTCACATAGTACTATGGGAGAGCTTCACAAGAGCTTCATACATGTTAAATATGGTTATGATCAAAATGTTGAAATATTAAATTCAGATTTCAAACAATGATGGAATAGAAAAACCTGGTCTATTGGAGGGTCCTCTCCAATGGTCTGATCACCCATATCCAAGGTCCACTATGGTGAGTAGGCATGCTCGTGAAGATCAAGGTGAAGACAGGAACGAAGACAGGAACAAAGAAGTTGATGGACCTCCACAGTTCACAGTAGGGCTCAGTGGTGTGGCTCAGCCGGTCAGCTTGACCGGTTACTACTGGGCTTGATCTGGGCCACCTGTCGACTCTGGTCAGGATAAAATGAGCGACCTGGTCCTCTTGGGAATCATGACCAAGGTCGAGAGATTATCCCCTCAGCTGTTCGCTACTAGAAGCCGAAGGCAGCTAAGTCATACCCTAACACCCTGTTAAAAAATCAACAGGTTGATATAACCTCTTGACAGACACGTGGAGAACAGAAAAAAACTGATATTGAAGGGAAATATTGCTCACCAAGTTGATAGTCATTGCTCTGCATATGACTTACCTTCTGAGAAGGAAGGAAGGACTTGAAGAACTATTAGTTTGGAGTCTTCATACGCTGAAAAAAGCCGGCTGCAGGGCTTCCTGGGGACATCAGGCAGTCTCCAAAGAGTAGGAACAAATCCTACACAGGTCCATGGCCAGAATCACTGATGTTTTTGAACAATTTCAAAAAATTTCAAAGCCTCCGAAGGGTTTCTACGGATTATACCGAGAAAAGAAAAAATGCTCAAACTGGCTCAAGTGCACACCATGACGGTCGCCGAGAAAAAGCCTCGAGATAGCTACCGGAAATCTCCTCCTAAAATTCCCTATCTAAACTTATTTTATCTAAAGGAGTGCTTCCTGCCAAAATTCAGCGCCAAATATGAAATCCTATTATTTCATTGGTCAGAAGAAAAACACCAAAATTACTAGGTCCAAACTAACAGAAGAAGTACCGAAGAAAGAAAAGAAAAAGAAGAGTCTTCTTTTTCTTCGGTAGTACTATGTCACAACATTGTAAGATTGTGCTTAAGTCCTACTCACAGTAGATGAGTGACATACTGGACAATGACGTTTGGATGACAATATTGAATATTATAACCCTAAAATAAATTCCAGAAAATGAAGAAAATAATTCTTCCAACACCGAAAATACCATTTCAGATAGAAAAATCACCTTGAATACTCCCTGAAATAAACCAGCCACATGGGCTTTATCACACTTGCGAACACACTGGTAAGTCGTTTGTTTACTCTCGGAAGGGACAACAACATTGAACTATTTCTTCGAATTCTAGGCCTCCAGGATCAGAACGCCAGAAATCAAAGACTCCTGCAGCTTATATCATCACCTCCCATCGGCACATAGAAATTCAGAAGACATTACTAATCATGACTGTTATTATTTCTATGCTGTTATTCAAAAATGTGTGATAAAGTGGTTCATTAAAAGTTACATTCAAGTACTTCAGGATTATTTACCAAGTATCAGACTGAATGTTCTCTGTAAGTATGACTTCTTGTCTAGATCTGAAATGTTAATATTTACAAAATGGTAATGTATGAAACAAAAAAATGAAAATGATTCTTTGCAACTCCAAATGTTGCACTAAAGCACATTCGCTTGAATTTTCATGCAAACGATACTGAAAATTATTTTGTAGCAATTTCAAATGCTACATATACCCCTCTCCTAAGTGAAAAAATTATTCAATTTATTGGAACAATTTTTGATAGAGGTTAGGCATTCATGCAAATTTTTGGACAATAGTAACTGCGCATACCAAACGTTTCTCACATGGAAGTAAAAACATAGTTCACTACCAGGTAAGAGTCTAATCTTGAAAAGATCTAAATCTGGATAAAAGTCAAAATCTGGATAATAAGTCTAAATCTGGAAATAAGTCTAAATCTGGATAATAAGTCTAAATCTGGAAATAAGTCTAAATCTGGATAATAAGTCTAAATCTGGTTATGGTCTGAATCTGGTCAAATTCTAAATCGGTAAGTCTAGTCCAATTACATGAATCTGTCTCTAATGAGAAAAGTATTTACACAATTTTCAAAATGACAAAAAAATATTTAGATCCAGGAAACTATGAAGTTCAGGTTGATCAGACCTTTCAGGAATCTTCATCAGGAAACAAAATCACTAAATAACTTGTAAGTATCTAGTGTCAAATAATATTCCATATCTAATCTCAAATATGAAATAACAAGGGTCAAGTAAGCTTACTTTATAAGGAGAACATTGAATCTCAAACTAGGTTCTGCATGAACCATAAAAATTGTTTGTGCACCAACACACCAAAAAAATTTGTCTGTGCACCAACGCACCAAAAAAACTATCTGTGCACCAACGCACCAAAAAATTTATCTGTGCACCAACGCACCAAAAAATTTACAAAAAGAAGTTTTACTCAAAACCAACTAACAGAAGTACTCTGTAGACAAATCTAAGATAATTATGGTCTGAATAAACATCACTATCCAACAGAAACATCTGAATTGGATCCAAAATATTGTTTTAAATCTTTTATATGCCATTCCCCAGCGGGAGAACCATCGATATGATCTAAAGCATATACTAAACGAGATATTCTTTTCCTAACAATATTCAAAACATATTTGGGGGCTAATTCTGCACTAAACTTGCTCGAAGCATCTGGAAGTATCTTATTTCTCCGCCACACCTTTTCTCCTTCCTCAAATATATGATCTCTCTTTCTGAGGTTGTATGATGTCGCATTGCTCTGATAAGCCTTATGTAATCTTTCCTGTACTGTCTTGAAGACATCACCAAGCCCCTTGATATCCTGAACAAAACTATCCCAGTCATCAGGTTAAAGTTCGATATCTTGGGTTTTAGGAAGATTTCCATAATATTTGCCAGAGATAGGGACA